CCATTTCCTTGGAAGTCAAAGTTTCACATAGGCTGGGCACAGTGGTTCACGCCTATAGTCCCAGCACTTTGGGAGGCGGAGGCAGGAGTGATGCTTGGGCTCAGGAACTGGAGACCAGCACAGGCAACATAGTGAAACCTTGTCTCTACAAAAAAATAAAAAAATCAGCTGGGTGTGGTAGTAGACACCAGGGGTACCAGCTAGTAGGGACACTGAGGCGGAAGGATTGCCTGAGCTCAGGAGGTCAAGGCTGCGGTGAGCCATGATGGTGCCACCGCACTCCAGCCTGGGTGACAGAGTAAGACTCCAACTCAAAAAAGGTTTCAAAGTTTTAAGCACAAAGATGCTCACTGAAACATTAAGTTTTAAAACTCATTTTAAAATAATTAGCTATAACTAAAATCTCCTAGAAACAATCACAGTGAAGTAAAATACAGTGAATTCATATTATGGAACATTATGCAGCCATTTTTTAAGTGTGTGGAAAAATGGAGAAACTTTTACATGTAACATAAAGTTAAAAAGTCAGGATACAAAACTGTATTGCATTATAATCCTATCCAAGTTAAAAATGCCTACAGATAAACCCAGAATAAAACATGCTAACAGTGGCCAGTGCCTTGAAAAAATGGGATCGGAGGTGATTCTCTCCCCCCTCCCCCACTTTAAATCTTTGGGAGGATTTGCCAAAAATACCTAGCATTTTATTTTAGCTGAGGGGAAATGGGAAGAGAAGGCTTGGCTACTTAACTTCCAGTCAACAGCAGCAAACTCATTAATCAGAGGTGACACTCTGGGCTTTTCTAAAATTACAATGAATCCATCACTGCAAAGCCATCACCACTTCCAGAATGAAAACTTTATAGTATATATGGTTTACATTTGTGAGGGAGTTTAACTGACATTTTAAGTCAAGCCTAATAATGAACATTTTGGGGAAAGAAACACAATTTTTTAAAAAGATACATGGGACAAAAGATAAATGCCACTTTGCTTTTTACCAAGACCTTTCAGAGATAACAGCTCATTTGATCCCACTAGCTGACAGTAAAGCAGATAAAGACAGAAGTTGGCAAAATGCCTATTTTGCAGGTGAAGAAATGGAGGCCGAGGGAACCACACTCTGCAGGTGGCAGGGTCTCTTTTTCATTTTGGACTCAAGTTCAGGGCTCTGACTTAAAGCTGGGTGCTCTTTTCACGACATCATGTCATTACCCTGATACTTAGTGGTTCTTTATAAATACCTTAGAGTAAAAATAATTTTCTTCCTAAAAAAAAAAAAAAAAAAAAAGTGGTTTGTTAATAGTGAAGAATGGACTTCCAAATCGAACAGATCTGACTCAACATCAAAATCCAACTTACAGATTTGAATGACTTTTTCAACTTCTCCAAAGTCAATTTCCTCATCTACAGGCACAGGAATAAAAAACATAAATACCAGACAGGGTTTTGTAAGAATTAAATGATCTGAATACTTAGACCTCTGCCTGCCACAAAACAGGTAGTAAACAACACTGAAGTCCTTCTTCCGAAAAGAGCCAAGTGTCTACAATGTACCAACTCCAAATTCCAATTCTAGTCCTTGTAAGCCACACCAAATTCACTACCCTACCTGCCTTCAGTCGCACATCAAATCTTTATAACTACTGAAGTGCGTGCCCTAAATTATTAGGATCCACTCAACATAACAGTTTTAACCAATAACAATTTAATTCATTCTCTTTGTCAGTTTTCAATCATTTCTCTGTTGTCCCAATATGAAATTAAGCTTCAGCATCAGAGCCCAACAATTATTTAAAAAGTAACATTGCCTTTGTGTTTGCATCACCTGGGGCTTTGATCTCCTCTCACATTCAAGCTCAACTATTCCAACTCCCAAACAGTTTGATTCATTTCTTTCTCGGGAGGAGGGTAGGGGAATAAGGAATGACAGGCACTTCTCAAATTTTTAATTTCCTCTTTAAATTGAATTTGGGCACGAAGCTCCAAGGGGGAACTTTTTCAAAACATTCTGTACAACAACTCAGTATTATGTGGATGTGCAGCTTGGCAGGTACCTGGCCACAGGAGAACCCAGCATGTAATAAAGCTTATCTTCAGCATCTAAATGAGGAGTCAGAAGGCTGGATGGACGCCCACAGAGCCCAAGGAGACTGCATTTCTCATCTCTCCAGCACCTGGACCTTTTCCACCCACTCCTTACTTGAGGGCTGTGCCCACTGCCTGGTAGAGAAACTAATATGCCCAAAGATCGAGTAACCAGAGAACTTAAGGACATAAATAAGCCAAGATGCAGAAAATCATCCCTTCAGGGCTTGTGGTATATGTTTCAAATGCTGCTGCTAGAGACAGTTTAATGAGACTTTTTCACTGTGAGTGACGTGAAAGAGACATGCCACCACCCACCGTGAGGCTACCGGTTCTTTTCTCTGCTTCACAACTTCTGATAATCACATGCTTACTGCTTTATGATGTCCAAACTCTCCATCTTATAATCTCAGCAAGATTGCAGAAGTTGATTCATATTCTATTTTCTCTACAGAGAGTAATGAGGTACAATGGAAAGAGAACGAACTTTGGAATCAAGCAAATATAGATATAAATAAAGACACACACACACACTCATAGGGATTCTGCTTCTCTGAATGAACACAATACCCATGTGATGTTGAGCCAGTTGCTTAACCTCTCTGGCTCACTGGAAATAAGGACTTCAAGAGGGTTTTAAATGCATATAAAATACCCACCCCAAAGCCTGGCACAGAGTAGGCATTCAGCATTATTTCCTCTCTCTCTCTCTCTCAGTACTTCCTTAAGCTCGGCCTACAAACATGAACTGGTCTCAGATTCCAAGGACATCAGTTGTTGGCTGCTCAGGGCATCTTCTCTCTTTATACAGGCCTCAAGACATGCTGGCAAATGTGCAGTCTGTCACTCTCTCCTTTTCAGACACCTCATGCTTCTTAAGCATTAACTTTCATCAAAAAGGCTACCATGCGTAGCAAAGACATGGAACCAATCTAGTGGCCCAGCAACAGTAGATTAGATAAAGAAAACATGGTACATATACCCAACCCAGATGCCCATCAAAATGGACTGAATAAAGAAAATGTGATACAGATACATGATGGAGTACTACGTAGTCAAAAAGAAAAAGAAAAAAAAAGAACAAGACCATGTCCTTTGCAGCAACATGGATGCAGCAGGAGGCCATAATTCTAAGCGAATTAACACAGAAAGTCAAATATTGCACGTTCTCACTTATGAGCAGCAGCTAAATACTAGACATACACAGTTATATGGATGGGAACAACAGGGGACTCTTGCAGGGGAAAGGAAAAAGGGGGGAGTGTTGAAAAATTATCTACGGGGTACCATGTTCACTATTAGGGGAACAGTTTCAATAGAAGCGCAAGCCTCACCATCACACAATACATACTCAGGTAACAAAATATATGGGTATATTTCTCATGCACCCCCTGAATCTAAAATAAAAAGTTTTTAAGGCCTACTGTGCAATTAGATAAGAGATTTCTTCAGTCATAGTCCAGTCCTGAGACCTGGGTGTTGCTCAGAGAGCCACTGAAACATGAACTCACTCTGGGGATGGATTTTTCCTGCTGATGGCTAATGATATGCATCATGTGCTTTTAACAATTTGACTCACAGGTTAAGCTCTTTTCCAAATTCTGAAGCAACTAACTCCAGCCCTTTAAGGACTATCTACGACCTCTCGTACAACTTGAACCTGATTATGCACCTGCATGTCTCAGCAATGAAAGGCAGAATCTCCCGCCCAATAAAACATGTCATCACCAGGATGGATGGTTAAAGGAAATTCAGGTCTGCTGATAAAGACTCAGGAGACATAGAATCCATCCCTTTCCGTTCCCCACCTACTCTGGTTTCTATGAAAAAGCCAAGGCCAAAGTGATAAGCCAGTTTAAAAGCTGTAAGTGATCGGAATGGTCTCAGGAGGAAAAGCAGTTTATGTAGCTTTGTGGAGGAGAAGACAGTTGGAAAGCTTCCAGATGCTGATTATTGGGACCTGAAGAGGAGTCGCCCCTGAAGGCAAGCTTGCAAGAACTTGCTGATGCAAGACTCCTGGCTGTGATAACCCCAAATGGCCAAGAAGGCATACATATATATGTATTGTTAAAAAAAACTGCTGTGAGGTGGCAATTAAGAAGGGGGACAGTGGTAGGGAAGCCCTAATGTCGGTTATTATAATAACCAGAGTGAGAGTCAGAGCTTCTGTGAAAGTTACACCTCTTAAGAAATTCTGTTTAAAACTCCTGCTCATAAGTTCATCGTTGGGGACAACACTTTGGCATGCCTGCTGGTGGCTTCCTGCCCTGACCACAGAAGGTTCCTTTTGTGATGACAGGAATCAACACAAAGAAGGGGGGAAAAAATGTATGTTTACAGACGCGCCTTCCCTTTTTCCGAGCCTGATTTATCCAGGATATACGGGAAGGAATCTGGACTCCCACACCTGTTACAAGAATCATCGGCCGCTAAAATAAATGCAAACTTGGAAAGAAACTGGAACTCCTCGAGGTTTTAAGATTCGAAAAGGGGGAGGGAGGCGGCGACAGCGCACCCGGTCCTCTCGGTCTCGATCTTCCGCTCGCGGGGCCTTCGCGGACAAGGAAGGCAGGAAAGGGGTCTGCGGGTCCCGAGGCGCCCGGCCACAGGGGCAGCGCGCGGAGGAAAGCGACACCAGGCCCGGTCTCTACACTCCGCACGGCTCGGGTCTGGGGGATGCGGGTCCTCAGAAGAGGCCGGGGGAAGGCAAGGCGGGAAGGGAGGAACGGAGCCGTTGCCACGCGCCGCGCCCTGCCTGGGCCACCCCGGGACGCCAGATGTCCAGCGCCTGGATCCCGCGGCTGTGCCAGGGCTCGGACGGCCCGGGACGCGCGGCGCTGCCTCGGCGCTTCCTCCCGCGCCCCGGGGACCCAGCTCGGCACCCGGCGGCCCCGCCTCGACGGGGCACTCACCCGGGGCCACCAGCGGCGAACTCACGGCGCCTCCCACGAAGACAGCAGCGGCGAGGACGGCGGACCCCGGGAATCCCCGCGGTGCCATCGCCGCGTCCGCGTTCAGGCAGGCGGCGCAGTTCCGCAGCCGGCGGGCGGATCGAGTGGCAGCGCTCACCCCCGCGCGCAGCGAGCCCCGCCCCACCGTGGCCCGGCCCCACCCACCTCCGCTCGGCCCCACCCACCTCCGCTCGGCCCCACCCACCTCCGCTCGGCCCCGCCTCTCCCCGTCGCGCCCGGGACTCCCCCTAAGCCGGCACGAGGCCCACTCCGGGGCCCCGCCC